CTTTATCTAATGTAATAATAATATAACATAATATAAAATATATCATTTTAAGGTAAGTATGGTAATAATTTACAACAAAGTTAGGTGTAAACCAGTTCAAAAAGTAAGACTTTTTTTTTTAAAATAGCCAGCATATATTCAGGGCTTAATGTTATTTTAATAAGAGATTCATAAAATAACTGGAAGAATGAAGTCTTCCTCTGGTGCTAATGTAAGCATAAACCAGGCATTTAACATTCCATAATCATAGGTGACACGATGACTCTGTTTTCTGTTGTATTTATTGCCTGTTCAGTATGCAGTGCTGGGTCTTATAATTGCCTTTAGTAAACCCCACATTTCTCTCTTTTATCTTTTTTTTCTTTCCACGCAGGTGGCGTGGCTATGGATCAGCCGTGTTGTCGAGCTCTGTATGACTTTGACCCTGAAAATGAAGGAGAGCTCGGTTTTAAAGAAGGCGATGTCATCACCCTCACTAACCAGATTGATGATAACTGGTACGAAGGCATGATTCATGGGCAGTCTGGCTTCTTCCCCATCAATTATGTGGAAATTCTTGTTCCTTTGCCTCATTAGGGTAGCCCATCCATCCTATCAAAATTACTGTTTCTCCTAAATAATAATATTTTTAAAAAAGTAATTTGTTGGTACCACTGCTTTTGAAAAAAATTAAGAAAATCAATAAATGAAATGGCTGCTTATTCCACATCACAACTGTAAACTGCATTGGCCCCACAGATAATATTTGATTTTTTGTGTCACCTTGCTGCAGAGTAGTGATGTGTGATATTTTCTTAAGGCCGGACACGTGGGATGTCCAGGTTACTACAGAGATGTCTATGCACTGTTGGGATGAGAGGATGTGGCAATTAATGGTGCAGGTCTTAGTATTATGGAAAGAAAGCAGCTGAGTGATTGGGTAAGATAAAGCATATTGACATTCTATCATTATTTTCTTCTCTTTCTACAAAGAAGAGGAAGGGGGGGAAACCACATCCTTGGACATTCCATCTTTCCCTATCCAAACAGCGGGGACACATCAGCCACTCACTGCGCTGTATTTGCTATATTCCAGGTGTGGCAGAAGGTATCTAAGGAATCTATTAGTAGATTTTGTATGTGTGGACAATTGTGTTTTAATTCACAATTGTTTAACACTAGCAACAACAACAGCAAAATTCTGCCTAAAATTGCTGACGTGAGGAGAATTAAGGGTACCCAGCTGTCATTTTAAAGCGAAAGGGTCCTACCGACTGCTAGTGCTCAGAACAAATTATTTTGCTTAGTGTGCTCAGAGGCTCCTTGTTTTGTTTTTTTTTTAAAAATCTAAATGTATTTAGCTCTTACCTGGCTCTGGTTGGTGAATCTGGGGTTCTAGTTAAAATAATAATAATAATAATA